AATAGATGACACCACTAATAAAATATATGATTAATCAATTGATTTAGAGTAGGTGTCACCCATACTATTAAACAATATAGAGTCAATTACCAAATTAAAATGTATATGCAAAACCATTGAAAATAAAGCGCATAATCTTTCATATGATAACGATAGGAACTGAAAAAAATTGTAACAAAACAAACCTTGCAAAGGGCGATAATGCACAATTACAGGATTCATATGCAATAGCAAAACACTTATCATTATTAAGATATCAATACCAAAAATAATATTTGGTACATTGTTATACAAATAAATAAGTATAGTAATGTGGCGTAATAAATTAAGCTTAAATAAATTTATATTTAAATAGACTCTATTTTGGGTGAAATCGACAAATTTTTTTGAGTATAAAAATGAAACCTAATTTTACGCTTGGTTATTTATTTTAATACCTTAACGCTACTAAATAAAAAAAAATTGAATTTTCAATAAAACCCTACCCGCAAGAAATATTTGGGTTGGTCAAATGTAATGCCAATTCACCTTAGTGTGGAAGATTAGGTTTGCATTATGATAGTTTATTTATCGTTCAGTTTTTTCTTTTAAAATATCAAAGAAATAAGAAATTGTACTATAAATTTTTTTTAAAAAACATCCCATCTGATTTATGTCGTACCAATATACAATCATATAGTTCCCCGGACAGTTCTCGTTCAAAATCAGCAAATAAAAAAAAATGTATAAATACCTTTTACACGCGTTCTTGTTTTTTTTATCTTACACAAAAATCAACAAAAAAAAAAAAGAGACAATATGTTACAGAACAATAAGCGAAAACTTAAAGCACCTGAAATTTTACAGCAATTTCCTATTGAAAGAGAAGGTTCACCAAGCTCTTTGACATTACCTGAATATATTTCTAATTCAAACTTATTAAATGATACAAACTCTGGAGGACGAACCTTATCACCTGTTTGGAAGTACTTTAACCGAAAGAAAACTCAGTCGCCTGGACATTTTTCAGCAGAATGCTCTTATTGTCCCGCTAAATGGTCAAGAGGTGAACCACAGAAACTTGAGGCACACCTTGCATTAGAATGTCCTAATGTTAATGATGAGATTCGGCAAATATATTTGCTTCGTGTAGCTTATCGTAACAATTTGGAAGAACAATCAGAAAACTTAACTAATTCAAAAAAAAAGAAGTCAAACAATAGTCAGCCTTGCCTTACAAAGTATTTTCCACAAAAAGAAGGAGAAAATTTATCTGAAGAGCGAATAAACTCTATAAATAGTTCGTTATTAAAAGCATTCGTAACTTGCGGTATTTCGTTCTCCATAATTGAAAATCCATTTTTCATCGACCTCCTCCAAAATTTGTGTTCAAATTACCAACCACCTTCAAGAGAAGTTCTATCAGGTCGATTGTTGGATCAGGAGTACTCTAGGGTTACAGTTAAACGCGAGGCTATTTTTAATGAATCTGAGAATCTAACTCTTGGTATGTACTATAAATATTTATTAATTCTGGTTTGTAACTATATTTTATTACTTATTTAAATTAAATTTCTTATTAGCATTAGATGGGTGGACATCACCCAATGGAAACTCCATATACAGTTTTATAATTTTAACACCCTCGCATCAAAGTTTTTTGTATTCATTAAATGATTTCTCAGCAAATTCACATACCGCGGAATTTCTTGCAGATACAATTAACACAATTGTAAATGAAATTGGATGTGATAAATTTGCTGCAATTGTGACGGATAATGCTAGTAATGTAAAGCTTGCACGGCACATTATTCATGAAAGGTATCCAAATATTTTAAGTTTAAATTGTATTGCACATTGTATAAACCTTGTATCAAAGGATATTCTTAGTAAGTGTAATTAATTTTTTTTTATTAGTGTTATTAATATATATTTAATTAAGTGTTATATATATATCAATATATATATATTTTTTTTTAGA